AGGAGGGCTTGGCCTGGGGAAATAAGGGCCAAATGCCCTCACTTGGCACCCAAAGCCAGCCCCCAGGGCGGTGGGGCAGCACGGGGTGGGTGCTGCAGGGCTGGACCCGCCGGAGCTTGGGCAGGGGTCAGGGCTGTCCTCCCCTGGGGTGGGTGGTGGTGGCTGGCAGCAGGGGCAGCACCAGCTGTGTCCCCCAGCTTCCCTGCAGCTCCCAAAAGGAGGTCCCCCTGCCTCAGCACACAGCTCAGGTTTGGCTGCTCGTGGCTGGCAGAGCCAGCTGGGGCTGCCCAGGGCACAGGATGTGTTTAGCTCAAATATTTGTTCCTCCCTAACCCCCCGCAGCTGAGCTGGGAGCTGTGATCCCACAGGGACTTTAATTTCCTTCATTTTTCAAGGATCCCATATGGTTGTTGGGGTGGCAGATGGGAGAGTTTTCTTTTCAGGGGGATGTAAGATAGCAGTGCATTGAATGCCAGAGAGAAGTGAGATTTCTGGAGGGCTGTTGAGTTCTGCTTAATTGCAAACAGAATTTGTTGGTGACTAATGCACCCAGCCTTGCAGCATTATCTCACGTTAGAAGCTGTGGCACGATGGAGAAGCCATGACTAAGACACTGGCTCCTGATTTACCAACACTTCCCTCCTAAACTGCTGCTTTGGCTCCCTGCTGCCACATTACAACTTTTCTATTAATAATTAAGAGCTTTAACACAGTTTGAAAGCACTTGGTTCAACATAAAACCCTCCAGCCTGATTTTGAGTCTGCTGAGAGCAGAAAGGTAGAAAGGAAGAGGGAGTGGGGTATTGATGGAGCACAAAATGCAGCTGCTGAGCAAAAGGTGGAGTAGATACTGGGAAGAAATCCTTCCCTGGGAGGGTGTGAGGCCCTGGCGCAGGTGCCCAGAGCAGCTGTGGCTGACCCTGGATCCCCCTGGCAGTGCCCAAGGCCAGGCTGGACACGGGTTTGGAGCAGCCTGGGACAGTGGAAGGTGGGGGTGACACTGGGTGGGCTTTGAGGTCCCCTTCAGGCCATTCTGTGACTCTGTGTCCTGTCCAGGCTGGTTGGTGTGGAGCCGTGCCTCCATTCCCTGCCCTGCCCCATCTCCCCCTGCCTGTCCCAGTGCTGGGACTGTGTGAGAGCAGTCACTGGTGGGTCTGTAGCTTGCTGGTGATGCTGGTAATTCTCTGTTTCAAGCAAGTTGTGCAGCTGTCCTGCAATGCTGTTCCCTGTTAAGGTGCCACGATGTCCCATCACCTGGAGCTCACCTGGTGGGAGGACACCTGTGCTGGCAGCAGGCTGCTCCTGCAGCTTCCTCCCTGCAGTGCCTGCAGCGCTTGCTCATGCTGAGAGCTCTTCATTGCTGACTCTGCTTGCTCCCAGCACTAGCAGCAGCTCTGAATTCTGTCCCTGTCACCTCCTCCCTCTGCGCCATGGAGCACCATCCGTCTGCACCGGGAAATGGGAATGTGGGACAGCAGCTCCAGCGTCCTCCCCACAGCCAGAACTCATCCTGGGCTCTTCTTACTCAAGTGGAAATGCTTTTGAATGGTTTGCGAAATGACTAAAGCAGGGAGATATTCCCACACATGGGAAATCAGCCAAGCAGCAAAGTGACAAGACAAACCCATGTGCTGGGTGTCATCAGGATTACAGAGGGACATGTCCATGTTGTTGGAAAGAAGATTCTGAAATCTGTGCTGATGGAGATGGGGAACTGGTAAATGGAGAAGTGGGGAAGGTCTGTACTGAAGAATTTGAGATTTTTTGGACCAGTTTGGTCAAGTGATGCTGACCACAGACCATTCTCGCTGCTTATTTCTTTACATTTCTTTAAATTTTTCCACCCAAATGAGCATGCAGCAACATTACTCCTGAGAGAGTAACACTGCAGAGAGTTAAGCATCATTTTTCTTGCATTAAAGTACCAAGCACAGGAAGAGCCCTGCCAGAGTGGAGCCCTGTGAGCTGGTTCTGGTCTGGAGTGGTTCTGCCAGTGCCCAGGAGCTGCTTCCTAGAGCCCATCCATCACTCCAAGCTTTGCTAGGACCTGCTGCACTGCTTGAGCTCCATCAGCTTCTCAAACCCAGGCTGCCTTCCATTTCATTTAGGCAACAGAGCCATGGCTGCTGCTGGGCTGCAGTCTTGTCCTTGTTTCAGCAGAGCTGAAGTGCTCTGGCATTACATAAAGCTGTAATTTTCTTTTTCCTTGTTACCTTTGAGAAGAACCTTATGTTCTGCAGCTTTGTTCTATAGGAATAGATCAGAGAGCAAAGGGCTGGGTGGTCCTTGATGTATTTTACTGCAGTCAGGTACTGATCATGTCAGAAGGGGAATATTGTTGTTTATTCTTGAGGTGATTCATGAAAGGGCTGGAACGGCTCTGCCCGTCCATAGCTGGGAGATGTTCTGTGGCAGAAATAGCCCCGAGTTCCACAAAAATAAACAAGATGTAAACATGTTTGAAGTGGAACCGATGTCCTCTCGGCCAGGAGATGAAAGCAGCAGAAGTTGTCTGGAGACCTGCTGAGAGGGCTCTGAGAGCTGCAGATGCCCGGGGGCCGGAGCCGGGTGAGGAGCGCCGGAGGCAGCCTGGGCGAGGAGGAGGAATGAAAGAGGCGGGTTAGGAGAAGGGATCACAAGAGAATTTTTTTAGTTCCAGCAACTCCAGCAAAGTCTTGAAACAAGAAATACTGCTTTTTTTCACGTGTTTGGGCAGCAAACTAAACATCTGCATGGGAAAGGCAGCGTGTACGGCCAGCACGGGAAGCAGGGAGGAGGATTTAGCTCCCAAGTTCATTTCCAAGTACTGTGTTTGCTGGAAGAGTGGGATTTCCAGGGGGACACATGGAATGGAAGTGCAGGTGCCCCTGCAGGTGCTGTGGCACGATGCCCTCCGTGCCCTGCCCGTGCCCAGCAGTGCTCCCTCCCTGCGGGATCACAGCCTCTGCTTCCGAGGCGCAGTCGGACCAGCAGGAAGGGCAACAGCCTCAGGATGCCTTGGGCTACCCATGGAGTTCTCCCAGCTGCTTCTGCTGGGGAAAGGCCCATTCTCACCTTGGAAGACTCTAACGTGAGGCATTGCTTTGTTTCCTGTTCTGATGGTTTTGGTTCTTAGCCGTTTTCTCTGTTTTGTTTCCACTGTGCACCCAACAGGAAGAGCCCCTCGCAAAACCCTCCCGAGTAAGAAGAAGGATAAAAACATCCAGCTGACATATGCTGCCTGCATGCAGCAGCCAGAACTTCCCCCCAGCCTCTCACCATCTCTGCTCTTTTTGTGAGAAGCAAAGGATCCTACAAGAAAACTGCTTTCCAAAACGCCAGAGACCTCGGGATAGCCCATTCCCTCATGTGCACTGACGCCTCCAGCCAGGCAGGACTTGGGTCTGGCAGTCACATAAGCTCAGGAAGGTGAAACTCAAGCAGCAGCTTGAAAATAAATACCTGTGTTTCATGGGAGGGAGGTGAACCCTTCACACCCATCATACCCCAGGGTCTGTCGGTGCTGGGCAGCAGCTCAGGTGAGTCCTGAGCTATCCATGGCTTCTTCTTGAGGAAATGTTCTGGAAGGACTTGCAGAGCAGCTCAGTCACCGTAGGACCATGTTCATCTCCTCTGTGAGCACGTGGTGGGCACGGGGTGCTCTGCACACCCAGTGCTCACACTGGCATTAGCAAGCCACTCTCTCCGTGGACTTGCTGGGCACCGAGTGTTTTGGATCCAAAGACACCAAAATCCTGCTCCAGATTAGTGGTAACTTCTTAGGCAGAGGCTGGCCCAAGTGGTGGTTTTGTCAGGCTTTTTCCCTGATCCCTCTGAGATCCTGCTGGTTGCATTCCCTGCTGCCACGAGCGGAGCGGGCGCGCAGTTGTGGAGCGATGGCAGCGGCCTGGGGAGAAATGAGAGCTGCATTCTTTTCCCATGATTTCATCTCGAAAAGTGCAGCAGTAATTTCTGGTCCTGGAGCCCTGTGCCGTTGGATTTTCCTTCCTTTGTGCAGCGGAGAGGACCAGGGTTGGTGGCAGACACAGTGGCCTTGCCATGCTGGCACACCAGTGCCATGTCCCAGTGGCCATGCCATGCTGGCACACCAGTGCCACGGCCTCTTGCACCTCCAGCCTGCTGCCCACAGGCACAGTGCTGGGAGGACAGGTGGGTATTAGTGGCCACTCTCAGCAGGACAGATGAGGTATCAGCCACATTTTGGTCAGCAGCTCATCACACGTCTGAGTCCCACCTTGGCCAGGCTCCTCTTGAAGGGAATTGCTGGGCCATCTCTTTGAAAGAACTGGTGCTTAAAGGGTTAATTTGGGCAGTTTGGGACGATTTGGTGACCTTGGTAGCACCTCCCGTTTGGGGGTGGGGATAGATGGAGTATCTGGTAAGTACCAATGGCTGTCAGGTTTGGTGAAGACTAAGGAAAACTCATTTTTCAAAAGATAGACAGTTTTGATAATAGAAATGCCAAAGGATTGTTTTTAAATAGTGATGATTATTAGCAGAACATTTTGAGGATCACATTGATAGCCTGCCTGACAGCATTCCCTGTTTCCAGCCTCTGGTGAAGCCATGCTGCCCTCACTGCTGTATCCATTTCTCTATGTGTGTAATCTTCTGACGTAATAAAGGTGTTACCTTTAATTTCAGAGGGAATTAATCAGTGTCTGTTGAATCCAGTGACACAGCTTCTGCAAGGAGTCAAGCCAAGAGTTTGGCTTTAAGAGATGGTCCAGTTTCCAAGGGGAAACCATCCACGTAATAAATATCCCCCTGTGGTGGCAGCCAGAGGACAATGGGGAAGGTTAAACGTTGGTCTGAACTCCTGCAGGGCTGAGCTTCTCCACAGGTTCTGGAGCCACCCTTCCCTGAATCCCTTCCCCGTGCCCCAGGAGGCCCCAGCTGAGGGATAAGGACGTCCTGGAGGTACTGCCCTGTCCCCACCTCATCACAGACCTGTGATCAGAGGTACTGTCCCTCCCTCGAAGAGATAGCACAAGTCATGATGCTTCTACAAAACTTCTTGTTTTTACAGAGGCATTTGCAGTGTGGAGAGAGATTTCTGGTGTTTTATCAGGGATGGAGTTTCTAATCTGAATTGGGTAGGGAATACCAATGAGCGCTAAGCAGAGAAGCAGTAAATTAATCAAACCGGTATTTTAGTACAATAATTGCTTTTTGGTGAACTTGAGAATTGAACAGTTTGGAAGGACCCAAAAACTTCCATGTGCAGTCACCAGTTCAGTAACTTGATTCAGCTCCAGTTGACAGCTGTGGCTTCAGGAATCAGCACAAGGGGAAAAAGGGATGTGAAACATGGGAAACAAAATAATGACATTTTTATACACTGGATGTATGAGCACCACAAGTGACAGACCGAGGGGGTGGAGGCTGCTCACGGGCACCATTAACATCCAGAAACAGCAGCACTATTTCTGGGAGCTCTGGGGGAAGCACGAGGCAGGTAAGTGGCCGTGCTGCAGCACAGACCCGCGGCACACGGGGGGCCAGGTGCGACAGTGGGGCAGTGGAGCGGGGGTTGACTGGAAGATCCAGCTCTTGTTGTCCACACAAACGCAGACCCAAGCCTTGAAACACTTCCCAAGGTCTTGGCACTTCATTTTGTAGCTGTGTCTCATGCTGGGAATATTCCCAAGGCACTCGCTGTCGTCGGCTGTCGTCTCTGTGTCTCTGGGTTGCTGTTTGTTGCTGTGGTTGCACGTTGATAAGGTCTCTGGTTATGTCTTGCAGCCCTCAGAATCCAAGCCCAACGTCACCCCTCTCACCGTCCTGGCCCATGTTCTCTGCGCCATCAAGTCCTATGCCCACCTCCTCTACGTCCAGCGACTCATCCCCCATCAGGTCTGTTGCACAACTCGCTTGGCTTTTTGTTGCTTTTGCTGTTTCTGTTGAATTTCCCCGGTTTCCTCCACTTCACTTCCCTTTCCCTTGGCATCCTGCTCGAACCCTCCCAAGGCAGCTGTCTGCACGCAGCAAGAGAGGAGCTTCCCAACCCTGCTGCCCCAGGAGAGCCCCTGGAACACCCCGAGCCCCGGCTGGAGCCCGCAGCCCCCGGGAGCTGTGCTCGGTGGCACTGCTGGGCTCAGCTCAGCTCAGCGCTGCGCTGGCTTTGCTCTGCTCTGCAGCAGGTAAGAAGTGTACTGCGAGGAGTAAAGAGCCTTTGGAAAGCTCTGCCACCCTGGTTTTCTGGCCACAGCCTCGTCTGGGATCTCAGAAAGGTGATGGGCACGGGGTAGCACAGGCTGCTCTGTGCCCAGGCTGAAGGTCCTTGGGCATTGCTGGAGTAAACCTGTCCTGGAAGCTGCAGAGGAGCCAGCACAGGATTCCCAGCCAGTCCTGGGTCAGGCTGAGCTGTATGCCACCCCCCTGGGGTCCCCCTGTGCCCTGGGGTGCCTGGCACTGCCTGGGGTCTCGTGCCCTTGGCACCAGCGATGCCATCATGCCCTGAGTGCCCCGTGAGCCTGAAAATTCCTTTTGTTTTGCACCTGGTGGTCTCAAGCACTCCACGTGAGCGGTGCCTCCCTGGCAGTGAAGGACCCTCTGCAGTGGGAGGATTGTTTGCCCATCCTGGTTTTTAAGTGTTTGGGAGCTGCTCATGTCAGGCAGCTGGAATTTGGAGAAGAGAGATCTCCATTTTGGGGCTCTCTTTGCAGCAAAGCCAAAACCATCCCCAGGTCCCGGGTTTGGAGTTTGGGGTGAAGGGGAGCTGCTCTTGCCATGAAGCCTTGCTGCTTCCCTGGATTCATCCAAGGAGCTCAGGGGAACTTCAAGTCCTCAAAAGATAAAAATTGGTAAAACCACTGATCTGAGAATGGTGACACCTTGTTCCTCACTCCAGCAGCTCCTGGGGGCACTTCATGGCTTCCCTTGGCCATGCCACAGCTGAGCAGCAGTGCTGGATGTGTCCAGCTGCTTGAATGGCCAGGGCCTGGCACTGGCACTGCAGCCTGGCAGTGCCCCAGCTGTCCACTAGCCCTGCTCCAGCCCCAAGCTGGGAAGGATGGGTAGGGATTCCAGGGGCAGGGACAGCTCTGTGTGCCTGTGCTGTGCCTGAGGAGCCCTGAGGTCCCTCATTTTCTGCTCTCTGCCAGCAGTTTGCTCCATTCCTGCCTCTCCCTGCTCCGATTCCCTCCCCTGCAGCGTGGGCACGCTGACACTTCCAGCAAAATCTAATGGCTTTTAAGTCTTTCTTACCTTCAGGTACAGGCTCTAAAGAAGTGCTGCAAATTCTTCATGGACCTGCTTGTCTTTCTGTTTTGAAATAACCTTCCCTAAATGCTAATTCTTCCTTGTGGAATTCTCCTTGTGGTTGCAGCTGCCCTTGGATGGCTTTGGCAGAGCGGGGCCAGTGGGTCACTGCCAGCACTTGCTGCCACCTTTGCTCTGTGCCAGCCTCTGGTCAGCGATGGCCCCTGAGACACAGAACATTGCAGCTCCAGCCCAGAGCTGTTGTGGAGACCCCTGGGTTGGGCTGGGCACCAGTGTGGGCTCCAGCCCAGGCGGTGCCAGCTGGGCTCAGACTGGGATTTGCACTGGGGTGAAATGTGGCTCAGCCCCACTGATGTGTCCCTCGCTGCTGGGCAGCGTAGCCAAGGAGCCCAGCGAAGCAGCAGCCCCAGCGGGGTGCACAGCACTGTGAGGGGTGTGCTGTGGGGTGTGGGGTGGCTCTGTGCCCACTCGTGCCCTCTCTTGCAGCTCCCCGCTGCGCAAGGCCCGCGCGCTCTACGCCTGCAAAGCCGAGCACGACTCCGAGCTCTCCTTCACGGCCGGCACCGTCTTCGACAACGGTGAGTGCTGGGCTCCTCCAGGGCATGGCCAGCCGTGCTCCTGGCGTGTCCCGGGGGGCTGCCCACCCTCTGCCCACCCTCTGCCCACCCTCTGCCCACCCTCTGCCCACCCCCTGCCCACCCTCTGCCCACCCTCTGCCCACCCCGCGGCTCCAGACCCTCCCGAAGCTCAAGGGAGACCCTGGTGAGCTGTGCCAGCCCTGGCGTTTGCCAATACCCGTAATTCTTCTGTGAAGGGGAGATTCAATTCTGGCTCTCAGCACCAGAAATACTCTGGGTAGTGCTGTAATGTTGTGTGCAAGAGATGGGAAGGCCAGGTGTGCTTTTTCCCTCTGGATGTGAGCGCTGGAGCAAGGTGGGCTTTGCTCGCTCAGCCCACGCTAATGAACACAGATTTGGTGTTTCCTGCACCAGGAGTTTGTGCCCCATGGAACCGAGCAGCTCTGGCTTAATCCCAGTGTAACGAAAAGACTTTTTACTGCTTTCCAAGTCATTCTTGGCTTTTAAATGTTAAGCATTGTCATTTGGGAAGCTGCTACCACATGCACTGTTTTTGCCCTGGGATATAGAGGCGAATACAGCAGAAAGGGGAGGAGACTGAATCCTTGTGAATTAAAGACAATCCTCTGAAGCAGCTCCATAGTCATCTTATAAATAAACATGGTCTCCCCTCTGAGGGCCTGTGGGAATCGGAGCAGCTAGGAGGGGAACAAGTTTGAATTAAATACATTATGTTTGCTGATAAAAATCAATGGATTATTCAAGGGAAAAAGTACACAGCGTGTTCCAGTCACTCAGCAGCACAGCCGGGGCTCACGTTGGCTGCAGGACCTGAGGTGGAACCAGCCTGGCTTGGTGATCAAGGGACTTTCCAAACCCCAGTGAAGGCAAAGGGGTCTTGGCAATACTTGGAGCCAGGTTCCAGTCTGACTCTGAGCCTCTGTGAGCAGCAGCTTGATCCAGCTGGGGCCTGGGGCTGCTGCTGCCCACAGGGAGCAGCACCCACGTTTGAGAACTCCAGTTCCCCTGGACACAGAGTGAGGGAGTGAGGCCAGAGCTGCAGAGTCTCAGCAGTCCCGGGAGCTGCAGGGGCTCTGGAACACGGGCTGCCCACCGTTACTGTGGGAGGGGGGATATTCGTCTGCCTGCAGGCATAACCCTGGCCTGGCTGCTGCAGAATCAGCAAATTTTTGGGAGTTGATTGAATAAAAAAAGGCTTTTGAGGACTGATCAGGTTTCTGGTTGCACACAATCAGGTTGCAGGGTTTGCTTTCCCGCTGGGATTGTTCCCTAATGCAATTTCCCTCCCAGCCTGGGCCCAGGGCAAGCTGGGATGTGCAGAGTTACCATGGGATGGAGTTAACCACAATTCTCTCCAACTTCCCAAGAGACCTTAGCTCAAATCAAGAGAAGTTGTGAGCCCCTGTTTTTATCCCAAATGCTCCACTTCCCTCAGCCCAGCAGCCCCAGGCAGTATTGGGAGCCTGCAGCTGACTTGGTGAAGGAAAGGCCAAGGAGTCCCGTGGGGAGCAGGCAGGGACAGAGCACTTCAGCTGCCCCTAGTGTGCTCACAGAACCAGGGAATGGTTTGGGTCAGAAGGGACCTTGAAGATCATCTTTAACCCTGTTAGTTCCCTTTCTTCGAAATGAGCACAGGTTAAAGTCTGACCTGCCCTTGGCCTGTCTCCGCAGTGCACCCGTCGCAGGAGCCCGGCTGGCTGGAAGGGACCCTCAACAGCAAGACAGGACTGATCCCCGAGAACTACGTGGAGTTCCTATAACTGTGGGGGCACAGAGCCACTGCTGAGCGTTCCATGGTATCCATGGCGAGTCCTGCAGGCCCCTGTGCTCTGTGCCACCGCCTGAGCGGGGTGAGGACACCCCTGTGCCCGCTGCGGGATGTTTGTGTGGGTCGGACGTCGCCTCCCGTCCCGCTCCACACAGGAGTGGTCCTGGGGAGATGGAGACACACCCCAGCCCATGGTGGGCGTGCTTCAAGCCCACATCCCAGCCATGGAAAACCAGCCAAGGGACAGCCAAGTGCCCCGAGGGGCCGAGCTGAAGACTGGGAATGGTCGGAGCCACTGGAGCCCTGGGCCCCCACGGAGCAGGGCCCCACCAAGGAGGAGTGTGTGCTCCCAGAGCCTTCCCCGTGCTTCCCCGGTGCCCCAAGCACAGCTGTGGGTGCTGCCAGGGAGCACCCCGAGCTTTGGGGCAGGGGAAGGGCTGAGCAGGCAGCCCTGGCCATGTCCCCTCCCTGTGCCAGCGCAGCGCCGGCTCTTGCGGGCGAGAGCGAGCCCCGGGCGGGCTCTGCAAGGCTGGCAGGGCTCAGCAGGCACCTGCTCGCTGCAGAGAAGATGTTTTGGACCAAACCTCTCAAACTCATCTTTTTTATTTTCAGGATTTTGATTTTGTGGGGTAGCCCTCAGTCTGTGCGAGGTGAGCAGCCCTCCTGCTGCAGCCCCAGACAAGCCCCACTCCTGCTGTTCGGCTGTTTGGTACCTCCCCTTCCCCAGTCCCACTGTACAGACACATCCTTGCTCCCACCAGCACCCGGGCTGCTGATGTGCCCTGCTGGAGCTGCCTCTGCCTCTCCCCAGCGTTGCTTTTCAGGCCTCCCCTTGCTTGCAGCCTCGTCCGTGCCACGTCTGTGCAGTGCTGGTTGTGCCAGGTGAATTATTTCCATCCTTGCGGGGCGTTTGCTGTCGCTGTGGCCGAGGTGGGGCTGTGGAGAGCCAGGGGGGAGCACCAGGGAGGAGCCCCCAGCCCAGCTCCTGCCTCCATGGACACACCACGAGGGCTCGGCAGGGCGAGCCTGCAAACCCTGCTCGTTCCAGGTCCTTTGGAAGGGGGAGGGAGGGAGAAGGAGCCCTGTCTGACTGCAGAGCCAGGATTTTGGGAGCTGGAATCATATTTTATAAAAAGAAAGTCTCAACCCCCAGGCCGTGGCGCTGGGGATGGATGTCGTGGCTTTTTTGTAACAGTTTTAAAGACTTTGAGTGACTGAATTGCTCTATGTGTCACTTTTTATTTTTGAAAGGATTAATGTATAAATAGAGTATCTTAAAATATTATGAGGAAAAGATCTATATTTGATATTTTTAGAAGAGATGTAAGGAGAGAAGCAAAGGACATTTGAAGCTGGTCACTGAGAGGCTCCAAAGCCCTTGACCCCCAGCCTGGAGCTGCTGCTTCCTTCACTCCATTGTGCCCCTTTGAGAGAAGGGAGCTGAAATTTCAGCTCTCTTCACGTTTTTGTCCACGGTAATTAAACTTCCTGGGCTTTTGTCTTGGGGAAAAAAAGAGGAAAAAGGCAATCATGTTTTTCCTGCTTTCCGGGGGGGTGGCACAGCTCATTCCCATGGGATCACACCCTCTCCATAGGACTCTGACCCCTTGGGGAACACTCTGGGCGGCTGGAATGGTTTGGGCAGGGGTGAGGTCCCCAAACTGCCTCGTGGTCTCTGCTCTGAGGTGTTGGATGAAGAAGGCGAGAGGTTTGTAGGGATAAAATCCGGTGTTTCCCTCGCTGGTTCATCTCCATCTTTGCATTTTATAGCCAACTTCTGTGCTATTTCTTGGCTTTCCCGACGCCGAGGATGAGGCCGGGCTTTATCCAGCCCTGGCATCAGCTGGGGCTGGGCTGTATGCAGCCTTGGCTTAGGATGAGGCCGGGCTTTATCCAGCCCCGGCATCGCTCCGTGGCTGGGGCTGCTGCTGGGACCTGGGGCGGGTGTGTGAGAGGGAGAGGGATGGGGAGGGCTGATGGAAAGGATTTTAAAAAACCCGTCATACTTCATCTGTCAGCACTGTGCTTGTGTTTGTGTCCTGTGCCGAGCGCTCCCTCTCCCTCCTGCCTGCCCGGCTGCTGCTGGGGCAGAGCGGAGCTGGGCATGAATGGGAGCTGCAAAGCTGCCAGGAGCCCTGCAAAGGCATTCTCTGTGGACAGGGAATTATTTAGGGACCTGCTTAGCCATGCTGTGTGAGCAGCAGCACCGCGCTGCTCCCGCCGTGTCCCCACAAAACCTTTCCGTGCAGGGTCCCCCTTGGCTCCTTGGATACTCCAGTTACTCTGAGACCGGAGTAAATTCCTTTTCAGAGGCACTTGGGAGCTTTTGGATGTGCTACCTAGAGAGTTTCTGGGAACAAAAATCCCACACACATGTATTTACGAGATGTCTCCTGGAGGAAAGGAAATCAAACTGAGGCAGAAGTTATTGCTCTTACAAGAGAGCCAGTGGAATATTTTTTTTTAATTAAAATTTTCCAAAAAGAAAAACTTGTCTGGAACGCTTACTAAATGTTCCCATTTTGGGCCAGCTTTAATACTGTAGTAAACATTGGTTTATTCCAAGAGAAATTAAAGGTAGGAAATATTTTTTTAAACCAGCCTGACACAGCATTTGATGCTCAATATTAAAGTAATCAGTTAAAATGAAACAAAAGCTGGGTGGTGACACTGGCAGTGGGCAGAGCCTCTCCCGTGCCCCCTGGTCAGTCACAAAGAGAGGGTGCAATGATGGCTGTTGGAAGTGACATCAGAAGAGTCTCTTGGTGCAGCCCTGCCATGTTTCACGTCGATGGCTGATGTTCCACAAGCACGCCGTGAGTTTGGTTTGGGTTTGGTGGTTGGTGGCAGTTGGATTAATCGGGGTGGGCTGGGTTTGGTGTTGGGCTGGGTTTGGTGTTGGGATGAGCTGGGTTTGGTGTTGGGCTGGATTTTGTGTTGGTTTTGGTTTGGTGTTGGGTTGGGCTGGATTTGGATTTGGGTTTGAGCTGGGAATGGGTTGGGTTGCTGGATTAGCTGGGCTGGGTTTGGTGTTGGCCTGGGTTTGGTGTTGGGTTGTGGTTGGATTGGGTTGGGTTGGGTTGGGTTTGCAGTGGGACTGGGGTTGGTTTGGATGCTTGAGGCTGTCTCCTCCTGTCCTGTCCCTGGCTGCCTGGAGAAGAGGCCCCAGCCCTGGTTCAGCTGTGGAGCACAGGGATGGATCAGGGCACCTGCACAGAGCCGGAGGGTGGAGAGACATGTTAGTGAGTGCGTGGTGGTTTAATACTCCCAACAAACCAGAAACCTCAAAGCGATTATAATTCGTACATTTGGGCTAATTCAGATTTTTAGCTTTTGGGAAATAACGATTAAAAGCCAAGGTTTTTAAAGAAATAGCTGTTTAAAGCTCTGTTCTCTGGCTGAGGAGCTGATTGTTTGCAGGTCATTTAGCACGATGCTGACGGCTCACAAGGTAGCACCTACCTATTACTTATTGAAAATCCTCCCTTCTGCTAATGAAGCTTATTCTGCTTCTAAACCTCAGACAAAAGGGTCTAGAAAATCACACCTGGGCTCTAAACTCACTGACGCACGCAGGAAGGGGAAAAAGTCTGCAGGAGCCGGGTGCCCCGGAGACCAGCCTGGCTTGGATTAGGGGGGGATGGCAGAGCAGGGGCTGGAGCTGGGAGAGGGGGGGAGTTGGAGCAGTCCCATCTCTACAGGGGCATTTCTGTGTCCCTGCTGTGCCCCCATCCCTCTGGGTGCCCCCCACAGCCCCCATCGCTCACCAGCAGCTGCTCCCCCAGGATCCCGCTCACCCCAGCAATCAGACAATGAAATATCTGCAGATCGCTCAGAGCTTTTCCTCCCAGCCACTGTGGGTGTAGAGCAGAGGGACGAGGGATGGGAGAGCTCCGGGATGGGCCCCAGAGGGGCTGGAATGTGGCTGGCAGTGAAAGTTCCACTGGGGTGAGCATCTCCCTGGCACAGGGGGCTGGAAAGGACTGAAATCCCAGCCAGTGCCACCCTGCCATGGCAGGGACACCTCCCACTGTCCAGGCTGCTCCAAGAACTGTCCAACCTGGCCTTGGGCACTGCCCTGGGTACCTCAACCTCCCTGGTGACACCTCGGTGACACCACGCCAGGACAGTGCCACCTCCGCTGGCCCCATGGATAAGGACAGCGATGGGGCAGCCCCGTCTGCCCCGTGCCCAGCTGCCCTCCCTTTCCCACCTCCCAGAGATCCTGGAGATGCCTTGTTCCTTTTTAAATCCTATTAATTTTGCTGCAGCCATTATCATAAATATTTCTGAGTCTGGGAGATGCACGTGCTGCTTTTCCCTCTGTTTTGCTGCTGGTTATTTTTTGCCAAGTTGGTGTTTGGCTGGGCTATATGTTCAGCCACTGTGGTTGTTGTTTTTGCCCAGTTTTTGTTGGGTTTTGCTGCCCTGTGTGGTACCCGGAACGCTGCAGCCCCAGCCCGAGCAGCACCAATGACTCTGTGCCATCCCCTTCGTGCTGCTGTTTATTATTTATTTCCCCAGCAACGGGGATATATTTAGCCCAGCAGCTTTGAGCTGTTTCAGCCCCATTATGCTCAGCAGTCCCAGCAGCGAGCAGTGGCCGAGGGGCAGCAGGAGCCCCCCGGGACCCCAGCAGGGACCCCCGACCTGTCCCTGCCCCGGGCAGGGCTGCAGGAGGGGAGGGCGTGAGAGCCACATCCCTCGGGCTCCCTTGGACTTGCCAAGGGTTGGGCTGGGCTGGGCGGATTTTTAGAAATTATTTTTAGTAATTGCAGTGTTTGAGCCTCGCAGGCCAGCGCTGTGTTTGTTTGGGGTAGGAACACGTGCGGCTCAGCTGCAGCCAGCTGGAGCAACTCTGCCTGCCAGCCAAAAAGGGTAAAAAGGGAAAGGGCAGGGGAGAAACGAGGAATTTAAAATGCTGGGGTTTAATTCTGGATTTGTTCTTGCAGGAGCCCAGAGAGGCGTGTGCTGGGGCCAAGGCAGGGCCCAGGGTGACGGGATGGCAGGGACAGCCCCCCTGAGCCGTGTCACTGCCTGTCCCCCCTTCCCCTCTCAGCTCCTCAGGGTTGCAGCTCCCCGTGTCCAGTCCCTGCAGATTCTCTCCCCTCCCTGTTCTGCTCCTTGGGGATGCACCCCTGAGCCCCCAGCCCAGCCCTGGGCACACCAGGTCACCTTCCTCAGCAGGAAGTGTCCCCCATCTCCTGCATCAGGAGCACAGTCAGTGCCCACATCTGATCTGCCTCAGCAGTTTTGCCCCAGCCTTTTTATGTGGTTTGATCTCAAATCAACAGATCGCGTAATTTGAAGGATTCCACTTGTTATTTTTTAACCTAGGGTTCCCTGTTGTGACCTCAGAGAATATCCTTCATTACACTCTGGAGCCGTGCCAGGCCTGTGATGGATTGGGTAAGGCTTTTACTGCCACCAGCCCTCCTCCAGGCTGGATTTTATCTGCCACCAGCCCTCCTCCAGGCTGGATTTTATCAGCTGGCCCACGGGCTCAGGCACTGGACATCAGTGAACTCCCTTCTGATGCTTCCTCTCCGTGCTGCTCCTCCAGCCAGACTTGGACAAGTTCCATATTTACACTTTTTTATTTTGAAATGTCCATGTACTATATATAATATAAAATGCATTTTCAGGCTCACCAATAATTGAAGTTGTTGGTAACCCTGGTAAGGAAACGCACCAAACTTGCTGGACCCTGGCAGGAGCTTGGCACTGAGAGCATCTAGGAGCTCCTTTGGGATAAGCAGTAATACACAGCCAAGGAGTCTTTTATTCTGCAAAACCCCAGAATTTGTGCCTGACACGGAGCAGCTCCGTGTGCCCAGAGCTCAACATGAGCTCACGCTGCAGAGGGGACACAGCCAGGGACAAACCAGCCCACTGGGGACCCTCCTGGGGGCAAACACGGACCTGAAAGTTCAACTCTTAAATGTCAAAACTGTAAAAATGGCATTTGATGGCATCTTCTCCTAACCAGTCTGAAATGCCATCATTTTCCTGGGATCATGTGAACACAACAGAAGTCATGACTTGCAGTCACATGCTGGGCTTCACCCAAATTTGCTGGAAGCTGAGGATAGAGCCCAAGAAAGCAAAACCAGCAGAACAAGGTGGCAGGTGAGGGAGGGCAGCAGCCGTGTCCCAGCCCAGCCATGGAGCAGAGGGAAGGGGCAGAAATCCTGCAGGGAATCAGATCCTGGGCCACAGATGCTTCTGCTATCAATGCTTTTGGAAATGGGGCGGGACAAAGGGGATTTCAGGTGGAACGTGACCACACTGAGGACTCGATGCACTCACCATGAGGCTGGAGCCCCTGAGGCACCGAGCAGGTTTTATCTGAGTGTCTGGTGGCTCTCCTTATAGCATCTTTCCATAACTGTGCCTGAACAAACGTGGTTATCATAAATCCCATCCTTGCCTTGCCTCTGACCCCCATCCGCAGCTGTCCAGCTTGGGAATTACCAAAGGGAAATTTATGTAAGCTTTGTTTTAATTGCAAACAATTCAAAGAAATCATTCCCTGCTGGGAACTCGGCCTTTTCTGCTGCAGTTAAATGAGATTTTATTACAGCAGGCCTCGCTCTGTGGCTCGGGGGAAGGCTGAGCTGTGCTGGGGGAAAACCACGGCGGTTTGAAGGGCTGGAAACGTCGAAAACTCCAACATGGCAGGGAAGGAGCTTCATGGCAGCATCTTCTGCTCCAGGGCTGAGACTTTCTGAACACAAGCACAGCATCTTCACAGCCAGAGAGGCTCCTTCCAGCCCTGCTGACCTACCAAGTCTTTTTCCCTTTTTCCTGGGTTCAATTCTGTCTCTGCACAGGACCCAGCACCCATCCCCTGCCCAGGGCCTCTGTCCCAGCCCACACCTGGGGAGCCCCGAGGCTTTTCAGTACATTTAATTTCCCTGTCTCACTAATGTCTGGCAGCTGGCACCTGCCGGGGGATGGAGCTTTTATCACATTCTGGGGAGTATCAGACAGTTGGGAACCACCGCAGTGACAAAATACATTTAAAACCATAGAATTCAGGAGGGATTGAGGTGGGAAGGGACCATAAACTCATAGAGTCCCACCCCTGCCATGTCACACCCAACCCTCTCCAAGACCACAACAAAAACTCCACAAAAGCATTTTGGAGCCATTTAATGAAAAAAGCAGAATTTTATTATATGGTTTCTGTCCATTATTCGGCATTGCTGTAAATGGCTCACATTTACTGCAACTTCTGTACAGATGTGTGGCTTTGTATTACCAGAACAGCAAATTTAAATGAAAAAATAAATGTTCAACAATTCCACACAAGCTTTTACAGTCCAACATTTCACTGAGTAGGTGAAAACTACAGACTTGTTACTACAGAATTATTCAGCATGAATAAAAAACTACAACTTTTATTTTTAAACAGGAGTCACTGGTTTATTTTTTTAATGCTGTTTAAAATTGCTGTGATAAAAATAATGATTTTTTTAATAATGCCA